TAAGGAGGGGGAATGTTTTGTCCGGTTTGGACAGGGCGGTGGCCTGACTCCTTCCGGTATAACCGTTAAGGTTAGGACGTGCAAGGAAGGAAAGAGTTTCGGATTCGGATCTCATTGGCCATGAGATCGCAGAGCCGGACTAGTGGGTAAAGTGTACCCCTCTGCGTAGAGTCTAAACCTATTCGAATAGTCCGTGTCCACTGGTATGGACGAGTCTGGTATGGTATGGCAATTAGTGTTTCTACTACAACCGGGAACAGGGAAATGTGTGTGTATGTTCTGGAAAGAAAGTGGTGGAGGTGGTGGTGGGGGCGGCGGCATCGGCACCGACACTGGCCCGTTTTGCACTGTGACATGAAGGAAAAACGGGGTATTACTGTGAGAACCAACCAAAAGGTCACAAGCACCTGCAGGAGAAGTCACTACACCCACCTCGTCCCCCACTGTACGTCTCCTCTCCACCACTATACTGGCCCAGGCATTTTTTGGACCCTTCACCAAAGCGCGTTAACTCTGGAGGAAACCACCCTAACCAAAGCAGCTGCTGTGACTCTTCCCCCAGCAAAGGCCACCCCCAGCCCTTGGCCAGCCCATCTCCTGGGGACACAACACTTCTCACCTGCCTCAGATGCTGCTGCGAAGGCAGGCAGTGGTGGTGGAGGGGGTGGCAGTGGTACTGAAGATGCAGCTCCAGCCACTGGTGTGACACACGTACCAGCCCCAGCCTCTGAGACTGCTGGCACCATCCCAGAGGCCAGAGCAACAGGAAGGATAGAAATGTCACCATCCCCTTTCTTCTGGATCTTGATGGTTCCCTGCTTCTCCAGTTCATGGATCTTTTTCTCCAGCGTTGACTGTCGCTGGATGGCTTCTTCTTTCTCCTTCACCATTTTTCTCAAGGTGTGTACCTGGGTATTGGCATCCTTGTAGATTTCCTGGGAGTGCAGCAGAAAGAGGCAGTTTGCACTGGTACTCACCAAACAGAACACCAACAACAGCCTGACATGGGATGGCCCCTGTGCCAGGATCTAACTGACCCTGAGCTTTGGTGCAAACCACACATCTTTACTGGTGAGGAAGAGTTCACTGGGTGCTTTTCCCAAGGCTGTGCACAGCACTGAGCCCTGGGAGAAATCTCACCTGTGGGCACCAACACTTGGAGGTGCAGAATTTCTCATCATGGCTTTCTCATTATGTCTCCCATTTCTTATGCCAGTCTGAAACATGAAGCACTTCATGTAGTTCATGCATTCAGAACTTCCTTGGTACTGACATTAACAGACAGTACCTGATGCCTTGCTGGCTGCTGCAACTAGGAGCAGATGTTGGCCCATAAAGGGAAGCAGGAGCAGAGCTCCTCATCTGGAGGGCAGATTGTACCTGCACACACCCAGGGCAGACCCTCCAAAGGAACCCTAGAAGCACCACACTTCTGGATGACATTTAGGTTGAAACTAGTTAATATTATACTAATAATTTTTGCTATTGAGGTTGTACACCAAGAAGTAACGAGTCTGGATTGTGCACAGAAAGGGGCTGTGCTCAACAGCACAGGCCCAGGGCACTTGCTCCTGTCCTGCTGCTGTGCAGCCCAAGCCAGACAGGTCCACCTCCACCAGCCCTCTGCAGCCCACCACACCTGCAAAACTCCAAACACGGATGCTACAGGTAAGCTGAGGGATGAGCTCTACCTGACCCATTCACTGATTTGCTGGCAAAGAACTTCAGGTCCATCTTTGAGTGCACACACTAGTAATTCAACTGGCAATCTGCCCTAGGTTCAAAATTAGGAAGCCAACAGAAGCCACTTGGTCCATTAGAAGTGTCCTTTGCTCCCAAACACCAAGGGCACAGGAGATGACCCCCCTGCAGCCTGGCATCCAGCCAGAGCTTCCCCACTGCACTCACCCGAATCACATCCAGTTCTTTGTTTCTTTGCATAAGCTGTTTTTCCAGTTCCACAATCTTCGCCATGGCTTCGTTCTCCGTGTCTTGGAGTTTCTCAGATAACTACCATTCAAAAGAGAAATTGATTATAAAGTGGGTAAACAGCAGTTTCCTCACCCAAAATGTCAGGAACAACATTCTTGGAGCAGTGGTACATGTTGTATAATCGATATTCCACCAAAGACTGAAGCCTTGCTTTGGAGAAAGGAAGGGTTCCTGCATGTGACCAGCTGCTGCTCCATGTCCTTGTGAAGGTTCCTCTGAGGATCAATGTTATCCTTCAGCTAGGACCAGCAGATAACCTGGCTGGACCACAGCTATGAACCTGCCCAGGTAGGAAAGCCTACTCGACAATAAACCACTCAAAATGCAAATGTTTCACACACACTAAGTCTGATCTGAAAGCCCAAAACCCCACAGGACACCACAGGGGCACTGCTGCAAAACCAACAGACGCTGAAATGGTGGCACCCACAAAATGAGGCTAATTTGATGAGTAATTAATTAAATGGTTTAATTTATTTCTTTTTCCCCATGGCCTTTTGATTATTTTTTTTATTATTACTTTTTTTTTTTTTGCCAGCCCCACAAACCTGAGATCTGCAAGCCCCACTGCCCTGGCTGGTTCTTTTCATCACCAGCAGTCACACCCACCCAGGCAAGGCTGCAGGGGTGATGAGGTGGCACCAGCTGCTGTGCCTTTGAGATAAAACTGTCCCTTGATGGACACAGAAATGGTGTGTCAAGCCCCCCACTACCAAGGCAACCCTTTATGAGGAGCTGGGAGTTGTATCAGGTCAGACAGTCAATAAAATGCCAAAATCAGACATTTTCTCATCAGGTCAATGAACAGCTTATGAACACATCTTGGTAGCCAGTGGAGCACCCAGTAACTAAAACATGCAGAGCCTGAGGTTCAAAACAGAGCATGAAAGCACCCAAGAAGTTTACCTGCCTGAGGTCTCCCGAGCTCCTTCATTTGCCAGACGAATTATTCCCCCAATACAGAAGCCCCGTGGCACAAAACCTGCTCCCAAAGTAAATACCTCTCACCCCAAAGGCTGCAGCCCAGTTGGTTCCTGTGCCTCCACCCCCAAAACGGGCAGTGGCAAAACCCACACACCGAGTGGGCTCTGAACCACTTCTGAGACAAAGGTGACAAAGTGATGAGGTACTAACATGGGAAATGTTTTCTTCCAGTTCTTCAACTCTTTCCAGGGCTGCATTCTTGGTTTCAGCATCCTCCAGCAAAGCTCCCACATCAAAAACGTTATCCAGGTAAGCCTGAATCTGCACCTGCAGCTTGTCACTCTCCGTGTGCTTCAGCTTCTGCAAACCCAAAGGGACAGGGGGGTCACTTGGCTCTGTCACAGCAGGAGGGCCACAGACAGCAAGGGCAGGAGAGCAGTGGGAGCTCAGGCCACCTCCACCACCCAGGAAAACACTCTCCATTTAACGTTAGGTGGGTCATAAGTGAGAAACAGCCACTTTTAAAGAGCAAACAGCCAGAACTTTCCATGAAAGCTGTGCAGCACCTCACCTTCTACAGAGGGCAGGACTTCTTGTACAGGTTATTGCTACAGAGGACACTGCTCTCCTCCACGCTTTGCTGCTTGACTGTGCTGAGCTCTGACTCCACCACCCAGCCCTGGGATGGTGGCTGGTGGGGCAGACCTTGCTGTGCCCATGGTGGCCAGCAGGCAGAGGTGAGGCCATTACATGTGTTTGGGTTCAAAGCAGCTACATGGCCCAGAGCAGATCCTCTGCTTGCTCTCACTGACCTTGCTCTGGGTTTGCTGTGCTCAGAACAAGCAAGCTTTATCTCCAGAGATAACATCAGAGCATGCTCTGAGCTGCTCTGCCTGCTCCTCATGGACTGCAGGGTCAACCATGGGACCCCAAACAGACATGCAGCTTGGCACCCCCATGTACAAATACTTCCTGCAGGCAGCAAAAATCCTCTCTCCTGGTGACTGCTGAGCAGGAATCTGCAGGGACAAACCAATCCCTCCTCAAGCCCAGCTCTGTGTGCGCTCCCAAGGGCAGGGACAGGGAGAGAGAGAGAGAAATGCAGAAGGGGAACCCAAAAAGCAGCATTCTCCTTCAAGAGAGTGCTTCCCACAGGCTGCCAGGAGAAAGCTCCAAGGAGGGTTCTTTCACAGGGAGGTGGAGGGGACCCTGGTGGCAGCTGGAGCTCCGGGACGTGGCGCGGGTGAGGAGCTCTGCGGTTCATCCTCCCTTTGTCATCAGGCAAAGCTACCAATTAAGCTCCCGTCTGTAATTGCAGCCCCTTGCAGCTGAGTCTGCTTCTGCAGGGGTGGCTCCAGGACACAGCCCCCAGCCAGGGCACTGCCCTTTCAGCAGAGACCATGGGACAACTCAGCTCTGCCCGCCCCAGAGAGAGGGAGTTTAAGGAGGTTTCAACCAGGCTGGGCAGTGGTGGCACTGGGAGATGTGGTGTGGACCCTCCAGGGCCCAGCCTGCACCCCCCTGCTGAGGTCAGCCCTGCTGGGGGAGCAGTGAGCTGTGGAGGAACAGGTCATAGGATCACAGAATTGTTTTGATAGGAAAAGCCTTTAAGATCAAGTGCAGCCATAAAGCCAGCCCTGCCCAGGCCACCCCTGCCCCGTGTCCCTCAGCACCATCTACAGGGCTTGGAAACCCCTCCAGGGATGGGGACCCTGCCCTGGGCAGCCTGGGCCAGGGCCTGACAGCCCTTGGGG